TCCCTAATCTCTTTTCTGATTACAATCTGAGTGATAAACCCTAGAAAAGTCATGTTTCTATTTATACTAAACAGAAATCCTAAACGGTGCAAGAAACAGGCCCAGGCCCATAACCACTACGCGGTCGACCGTAGTGACCAAGTCGGTCGACCGGCCAGAATGTCAATTTCTGAAAAAAATCGATTACAGGGTTTCCGGTCGACCGCAGCGCCTTCGGTGGTCGATCGCTCTTAGTCAAGAAACACAGTCTGGGTCTGTGCACTACGTGGTCGACCGCAGTGACACATGCGGTTGGCCTGACAGAGCCCAAGATGTAATTCCTACAGTTTGACGAATCCTTCGACTTTGCCGCCTCTAATGACCTCGTCCACGACTCCTCTACTCTATTCTCAAGATACCATGAGAATCATCTATCCTCAAGCTCCCATGAGGATCGCTAAGCTCCCGAAGAGAAGATACACTCGTATCATTGATGGAGCCTGGTTCCAGCTTGCGGAACCATTTAAAAGCGACTCCTTTGAGGGTGCTAATGAACAGTCGAGTCATAATGTGATCATTCCCCACTATGTGTCCAGTTTACGCCTAGAAGTAGTATATATGTTGGGTAGGAGACCCCTTACCACCAAACTACAGGAGGCTGAATAGCTTAAACTTTGGAGGATAAGAGATGGAATCCCATTCGGCAGGGTATGGCCTGACGACCGCTAATTCTTTGAATTTTCTCTAAAGCTTCAAAGCCTTAAGCTGCTTCTGGAAATCATCCAACTTCTGGTCGTGGTCATTCTTACGCGGGTTGGACTCAGTTTTGAATGATTCAGAGTGAATATCAAAAATATTTTCTTCCTCATCTTCTGCATTATCGCCATCCTGATTTCGACGGCTAGATTCTTGAGAACTGGGTGAAAGTCGCTAGTGCCTTGATCCTGAGGATTCGGTGGTAGCTTTTTTCCTCTTATTCTCCTTGAGGAGTTTGTCCACCATGCCAAGCGTCTGATAGTTTCTTGTTATTGGAGGAGACCAGCTTGTTGTTCTTCCAGCCTTCTTTCCATTTCTTCTTCGTTCCTAGCCATGTGAGCACTTGCTTGTTCACTTTGGTCGGTATTGGACGACTGAGAGGTTGCAATGGCTGAGTTCTCAAGCTCTTCATCAGCAATATCTGTAATGTCTGCCAATTATCGGTAATCTTGCTGGATCACTACACCAGTATGAATACGAGTGTGTCGATACACTCCATGTCCATCAACAAGCATTTCACCTAACCCTGGAGAGTATTTAGGATCAGAAGATTCAGAAGATTCAGAAGAATCAGCCGAGGCTTTGCTCTTGCCCTTGCTGGCCATATTAATCGTTACTTCAATGTGGTGATTCTTAGGCGCTTGTTTCTTAGGATGAAAGTGCCTTCTTCTAGATGACGAGGTCGTCAAAGGCTCAGTCAATCGTTCAAAAACTAAAGATTTATGTGCTGATTTCTCACATGAGCATAAGGAAAGTACTGCAGAAATAAGTTTCTCACAGCAACAATGAGATTGCATCTGACTCATGCTACCCTTGCGCGTGAGATAATCCCGAAGATCACCAGTAAGACAACCCCAAGCTGACTTTGTCATCTTGACTTTACCCGAGTGAGACCCTCTGAATGATAGAGGTTGACGACCTTGGGTAGCTTGACAAACTCTGCCATTCATGTGACGAGGTTCGTTGATAGGATGAGTTTGGCGAGTTCGTCTTCTCGGTCGGTTCTTAATTTGAGGTTCATTTTCATAATGAACCTCGGTATGAACCGCTTGTTGAGCTTGCTAAACCTCTTTTTGAGGATGAGGTTCATGTTCTGAATCTACTCGGGTACGAGGATAAGGTCTGTCATTTTGATGTTTCTCAATCACTTGACCCTCGTCAGACTTGTTGACCTTGGGTTGGTTACCTCTCGGTCGATAGTGAAAACCGTCTAGCAAGACCAAAGCTCGAGCCCTATGGTGAGCTTGGTTCTGGCACTGACATTGTCGAGTGTGTCTTAACAGTGGACCAATAGGAACTTTTGCCTCAGCCAAAGCTGGGCGAGTTTCGTTATCGAAAGCCATAATTTGGCTAGTAGAAGCTGAAGTTCGGCTAGGTTACTTGACAATCCATTTCTTAACTTGTCGGCTAGTTATTGGAGCTTCCTTTTTGAGGGGCATGGACTTCTCCTAGAGATTAACTTGAGTTGAACCATCAGAAGCCACTTGGGCTGAAGTCTCATACGAGACTCGACGACACTTACGTGCCTTCCTGGGACTAGATGTTCCAAAGGAGATATACTCCTCGTACTTGGTCTGGTCAAACTCAATGACCAGTGTCTCAACCTCGATTCCTACTACAATCTTGTATGATTGTGCTACCGCCATCTCATCAGAAAGAATGGCTACTCCCACTGTGATCGCCATCATCTGTATGGTCGAAAAATTGACTGGGATTGATTCTCTTGTTTTAAGAAAACTGGGTTCGATTACTTGGTACGAAACCCTTACAATCACTCTCTCTCTCTCTCTCTCTCTCTCTCTCTCTCTCTCTCTCTCTCTCTCTCGATTATAGATAAGACAAGATTACTTCAGCTCCTCCTTGTTTAACGTGGGTTCTTGGTGGCAAAAGGATGCTTCCCCTGATACTTGAGTCGAGATTGCCTCTCATTGATGATCAAAACAAGATTGCTGGAGCTTCTGATGTTTGTTAGACTGCTAGAATCGAGTTTCGAATTCCAGATCTAAACGCAGGAGCTCTGATTTCTGATGATTGCCAAAAGTTTTAAAAGTTTGAAGGAACCCTTTCCTCTGTAACCATTCATGTTTATTTATAGGGTTTAAGCACGTAACCGAAGTGCTACAATCACGGGTAAAGGGCGTAACTGCCTCCTCCAAATCAGCGCGCGCCGTAACATACTCATGAAGATTAGCCCACATGGCTGACTAAGTCTTCGGAGCGTTACAACTAAATCTCATGTGGATAATGAGCCTCGTCTTTGATTGACACGGAGTTCGTCAAATTGGACGAGCCTCGATACGCATCGAGGTTCATCTTATAAGGCAAACTTTATAGTAAGCGAGCTTCTTCTGATGAATTTTGCCTTCACTAACTTCGTCTGACGAACTTCATATTCACCAACGAACTTCGTCTTTGATAGCTGAGTTCAACTGCGTAGCAAATCTGGTCGATTTCCCTTAGACAAACTTCGTCTTCATTGATGATCTTTAAGTTTGACGACGAGCCTCATCTTCACTGACGAGGTTTAAGTCTGATGACAAACTTTATTTTCATTGACGAACTTCACCTGTGATGATGAACTCCGAACCTCGTATCTAATGACGAGCTTCGAACCTCGTTTCTAATGACAAGCTTTGTTGTTTGAGACGAGGTCCGTCATTGTAATGACCCTCATCATGCTTGTTGTGAGCGCCTGATTAGCCGATGATCTATGAAGATCCATGAGAGTGGAGGAGAGATAGGCTTTTTTGACTAGCCTCTCAATCCCCCCCCCCCCCCCCCCCTTGATCGTGCCTATTTATAGGCTTATGACCATTATGGAGTGAGTTAAGGGCTTTAACTCCTCTTAAAGGGGGTTATGGTCATTAAGTCTTATTTAAATGGGTGAGTTATTGGTCATTAATCCTCTTTAAATGTAGCCTATGGAAATGGTGACAAACGAGGTTCGTCAATAACGGTTATACATGAGGTTCGTTAATAATGGTAATGATGAACTTCATCTTCAATGATGAACTTTGTTTTTGGACGAACTTCATCTTTAATGATGAACTTTGTTTTTGGGAGAACTTCATCGTCAATGATGAAGTTCGTCTTCTGAGGGGGTGAGACGCTGCTTGACGAGGTTCATCTGTGGATGAACTTTGCCTCCCGAAAGGGCTTCATTTCCTAGAGGAGTTTTATTCCCGGTGACGAACTTTGATGTCGAGCCTTGCTGCATGGTGAACCTCATCTTCTGATGTCGAACCTTGCTGCATGGCGAACCTCGTCTTCTGATGTCGAGCTTCGCTGCGTGGCGAATCTCGTCTTTTGATGTTGAGCCTCACTATGTGGCGAACCTCGTAGGCAAAGCTGTCAGGCAAGTTTCAATCAGTTCAGGCGAGCTAAGTTGTCGGGTAAACTTAGCATTGCAGGCGAACTTCAATGTTCAGGTGAAGTCCAGTCTTGCAGGCGGACTTCAGAATATGCTGCGAAAAACGGTTCATAACTTTCAAACCGTAAGTCGGAATTGGACGAATTATATATGAAAATTGACTATCTCGACAAGACGGAGCCGACCAAACCTACCCCAAAGGGTTCGGTTTGCTCTTGTTTGTTTCTCCAAATTCCATACGGTTTGAGAGATATTAACGTTTTTGTTAGTTTTGAACTTCTTTGCTAGGAAATAAGGTAATTTTTATTGCCTACAATAGTTATAAATTGTTTGTTAATCATCAAAACTAGATTAGATAGTAGGGCTCATAAACATGAGTCCAAACAGGAAGATCAAGGGATCTTAATCTCCTCTAAATATCTAACCACTGCTAGAAAATGAACTATTGCCGACGGAACTTTAGCGACGGAAAATTCCGTCGCTATAAGTCACATTATAGCGACGGAATTTACCGTCGCTAATTTTCCGTCGGCAAAAAAGTTATGCCGACGGAAATTTCAATATTAACGACGGAAAATTTCCGTCGCCATTAATTTCCCGACAGAAATTTTCTGTCGGAAAATTTCCGTCGCTAAAAGGGAATTTAGCGACGGAATATTCCGTGGCTAAAACTCAAAAGTGGGAAATTTTTTTGGGCGCGGGCGTTTTTCTCTCTGTTCCCCCAAAAAATTCATCCCACCGCCAAAAATTCATCCCCGAAAATTTCGTCCCACCGCCAAAAAATTCATCCCAAAAATTTCATCACCCTCTCAAATCCCTAATCCCCTCCACCCCGCACCCTCTTCGTTGTCATCTCCTTCGACCGAGTACCGCGAGAGAAGCAGCAGCAGGAGGAATGGCGGGATCTCCGTCATCATCGTCCTCCTCCTCCTCTTCCTCGTCGGCGAACCCATCGTCATCTTCAGGTCTTCCCCCGCCTCCGAAGATCCTCCTTGCAAAACCCTCGTCGGTCCCCGCGGTCGCCCAGGACTCTTCCTCCGTCGGAGCTCCTCCGCCCTCCTCCGTCCCCGGCGGCTTCTTACTTCGGTCCTCTCACAACGTTCCTCAACCAGGATCCCTAAATCTCTTCTCGGATACTTGGGAGTTCCACACTGAGAGAATCCTACCGGTGAGCTGTTCTGTCTTGTTAAAACCTAGAAATTGGCTTTTTAAACCCTAGAAATTGACTGAAGGGGGAAATTTTGGGGGTTTTATGATTTTTTTGGATTCTTTGGTTGCAGTTTTTGACAGACAACACTGATTTCAATGTTGTTGGGATTATTGGGCCAACCGGAGTGGGCAAGTCGACTATTTTGAATGAGCTTTATGGATTTGATGGAAGCTCTCCTGGTATATTGATCTATTTGATTTTCAAAATCCATTCTTTTTTTTCATAATGTTCACTTTTGTGTTGATTACTTGCTCATTTTTTAAAAAGATTTTTTTAATAAATTAGTTTGCTATATTTTCTCCGATAATTAGATGCCTAGTTGAGATTCCACCATGGTGATTTTGACCTAGAATATTTTGTTTAAGGAACATTGAATATGCACTATATATATATACTTTAAGTGGTTCCTCATAATTTTACATGCTTATTAAAGCAGTAGCTTCTTAAAGCAGTAGCTTCTCAAAGCAATAGCTTCTTATACCATGAGATGATAAAACAATTATGCTCATGTTGACTCATATGGATATTAATTTGGTGCATTCAATTTGTCAGCATGAGACATTTGATTTATTAGTGTTCTAACGTTTCTTTACATGCTTTAGACAAGATAACTGCTGTAGACGAAAGCACTGCATCATAGTCAAATACATTAATTGTCCAAAAGTCATGTAAATACACAATTGCATGTGCATATTTTTCTAAACATACTCTACTTTGACATATAAAGTAATGCATGTTTAGTCATTGTCCTTAAAAGAAAGAATTACTTTACTAGAATGATTGGTAAATAATAGCTTAGCGTTTTGTAAATTTCAGACACGAGTGGACACATGTATTGTATTTGGTCTGTCTCATGGAAGTATCCTACATAACATAGGTTTCTGATCAGGAAGCTGACTAAAATTAGTTTGCTCCTAGGAATGCTTCCGCCTTTTGCAACACAGTCTGAAGAAACCATAGCCATGGCAAAACATTGTACTGCTGGGGTTGAGCTGAGGGTTTCTTCTGAAAGGCTAATCCTCCTTGATGCTCAGGTTTGTACTAGAATTGCTCACTTGTTATGTTTTTGTTGTATTGTAGAAACTCGATACTATAATTGATCAGTTAATGTAATTTTAATTTCTTGCATTTGTTATTAGTGATGAGGTGGTCATCTACTTTTCCTAGTGAATTTATTATGCATTTTTATCTTGGAGTATTTTCTTAATGTGGAGGATTCTCCAGGAAACCTATAAGATAAACGAGCATCAAATATCTTCAACAAACATATTTTGATTGGGCGCTCCAATCTTTGCACGACAGTCCTTCTAATCTACCAACTATACTAATTCGCTGCATAGTTGTTGGTAAATGATTGACAAAATTTGATAGTTAATTCTCAGTAAGTAGCCAG